TAAGCGTTGGTGAAACTGGCCCAAATGGTGCTTCTCGTAAAGAATCACCATTTGGGCTAGTTTCACCAACGCCAATTACTTAATCGGCCGTGAAACTGATAACTAATCACGTTTGCTGTTTAGTAGAACTAATGATATGTATCATGTGTATAAAAGATTCTCTGTATGGAATTTTAAAATTATATATAAACTTACCTTTTTAAAAAAAAGGTAAAAAAAGCGCTAAGCGTTGGTGAAACTGGCCCAAATGGTGCTTCTCGTAAAGAATCACCATTTGGGCTAGTTTCACCAACGCCAATTACTTAATCGGCCGTGAAACTGATAACTAATCACGTTTGCTGTTTAGTAGAACTAATGATATGTATCATGTGTATAAAAGATTCTCTGTATGGAATTTTAAAATTATATATAAACTTACCTTTTTAAAAAAAAGGTAAAAAAAGCGCTAAGCGTTGGTGAAACTGGCCCAAATGGTGCTTCTCGTAAAGAATCACCATTTGGGCTAGTTTCACCAACGCCAATTACTTAATCGGCCGTGAAACTGATAACTAATCACGTTTGCTGTTTAGTAGAACTAATGATATGTATCATGTGTATAAAAGATTCTCTGTATGGAATTTTAAAATTATATATAAACTTACCTTTTTAAAAAAAAGGTAAAAAAAGCGCTAAGCGTTGGTGAAACTGGCCCAAATGGTGCTTCTCGTAAAGAATCACCATTTGGGCTAGTTTCACCAACGCCAATTACTTAATCGGCCGTGAAACTGATAACTAATCACGTTTGCTGTTTAGTAGAACTAATGATATGTATCATTTGTATAAAAGATTTGATATCAACAATTGGCGCCAAGTTAAATTCTACTATCAGAATGAAAAGTAAAACTGAAGTGATACTATCTTTATTTATTATTTACTTAATCCAAATAGTACTATCTTTAATTTTTATACAATGAAATCTAAGTATACGTATACTTATTGAAGAATCTTCCTATTCCAATCCAAATGGGTTAAATTCCTCTTAAATGAAATCATTATATCACAATTCATTCAAAGATGTTTCCTCTTCCAACTAAAGTAGTGGTTATTTAATTCTCCATCGAAATATTATACAAAACATCACAAACTTGCGTTAGCTTGCTCAATTTAAATGTTACCACAAAAATTAAAGAATTAACCGTATAAAATGAAAAAATTTAATTTAAATAGAAAAATTTTTCATGTAAAAACACTTG